ATATATATATATATATATATATATATATATATATATATATATTGAGGAAGGACTGAGGATTCTATTTCTGGCTCGTTACCTCGTTACTTGCGTTTACATTTTTTAGCTCTTGCTACGATGAATGAAAATAGAGACGCCGATGATTAAATTTCAGAACACAACATCATAGTACTGTACAGTATCACTTATATTTCATTTATTCGTGAAACCTTCCTCATTGGTGCATATTTATTTCTTCATAATAGTATTTTTAAGTCTTTGTTAACATTAGATTTATAAAAAAACCGAAAGGTCCACTGATTAATCTCAGATAAGAAAGTATAATACATACTCCAAGTATTGAAATACACGCCATCGTGTTGGGATTCAAATCCCAACACGATGGCGTGTATTTCAATACTTGGAGTATGTATTTTACTTTCTTATTAGATTTATGGGTATTAACTTTGAGAATCCATTTTAACTTATTAGCTTGTCAATAGATTTGTCAATACAATATAGGCCTAAATGTATAATCTAGCGAATTGATCCTCAGTAGACAGAAATATATCAAGCTAATACCAAACTTACCTACACATGGATCGGTGGCAGCCTTGACAAAGAAGATATTTATGCTTTCGTTATATCTTAATCTTTAAATCATCAAAATATTACTTACTAACAACATTATAGGTCAGTAATATAACCATTAAATGCCATTTATTCTTCATAACTAGGTAATTTAATTTAATTTTAACAGTAATGAGGACTCTTGTAATAATAGAATTTCCAATGTCAACAAGTTCTACTTATATTGAATTAATTGTCGACGTCACATTATTGCATTTATTAAAGCCTACCTAATGTCCAGATGCAGGCATTTGTATTGATATTTCCTAGACACAATGTACCTCTATCTTTGTTAAAACAGCTTAAACTAAGAAATATTTCATATTTTAATATTAAATATTAGTTGATAGCATGTGCACAAAAGCAATGCACCTTTCCACTTAACCACCCCCTAGGATATTGTTTGCGTTGTGGGACAAAAATGTGTGTTTGTTAAGGCCAACCCAGACAGCGTCGTACGACGCAGCCCGATGTGTTTTGTTGTCCCGACGCGATTCATTGTGTAGGGCGAAAACTACCCATTAGGTAGTTTTCGCTAACGTTAACGTTAACCTTGGCTAAATCTATGGCAGCCATCTTGGAAGGTACACACACACAGCTCTGCGTATTTCGAACATCGAATACATTGCAGTTAGCGCTCTAGTATTCTTATTATATCTCTATGAATGTACACGATTATAATTTTCATTCCTTGGTACTTTATTTTTAAATAAGATGCTCCACTTGGCCTCGTTTTGGCTACAATAGTTTAATAATTTGTTATTACCATTACTCATTATCATTAATGAAATAATAGTCAGTCAGAGGGCTTATTAATATGTAATAATATGTATTTAAGCCTGGAGGTGGCGCTTTACTACGACGGCCATCTTGGATGGTACACACACATAACTCTGCATTGCTGCGCCATCTTGTCAGCACTCTAGTTGTTTAATAGCTCTATGGCAGAGCCATAGATAGAAAGAGTTGCGACATTGAGAATTTAGAAGCCATTTTGTGTCATACGCAATGCGCGTTCTGTGTCTAACGTGATGTGCGTTCCTGTGTATAATATTGTATAATACAGTTAGCGGCCTCCTGTATAGTTAGTTTAATTCCATTTAATATTTTTAGCAGTCGAACTTCATGTAACTCTATTTATAGATTTTTTTAATGATTTCACTACTTTATATCCAATTTCATATTATAAATACTGTAATAATTTACTATTTTTGAGCAGTTCTTTAATCCTCGCCAATAGACCGAGAGAGCCCTTCGATGGCAAGCATTCTTCAATTAGGAAATCCTGCCATATAGACCCTTAAGTAGCTCCTGTTATTTTTGCGAATAAATGATATGTAAGACCAGCAAAAATTAATGAAATATGTATGTATATCAAAATGTAATTTATATATATATATGGCTCTGGATTTCGGCAGAGCCTAGTAGACGGACTATCTAGTAACGGCTCTGAATCTCGGTTCGACTGGTTGGATATCGCTCTGGTTCGTTTGTTTTGATTAGTTTCTCCCCTCCATTAAATAATTTCCCTCCATTCTAGAGAGGGCGGACGTTCCATCAAATTTAATGCAAACTTCGCAAAGAGCTCATTCTTCTGCTATTTATGTTCTTTGGTTAAAGCTATGTTCACAACAAAGCCATGATCCGGTCCGGTGCCCGGACAAAAAAATCGTACAAAATGGGTTCAGTAGTAAAAAAAAAAAAAAAAAATAGGACCGTTCACATCAAATTCGTACGATTTCCAATCCGGAATCAGGATCCGGAGCGATGGATCTGAGAGCCATTTGTACCATGAAATCGTACGTTATTTTTTTATTTTTATTTTTTTAGACCAATCAGCAACAAGCTTGGTTGGTTCAAACGCATACGTACTTGACCACGAATAACCATGTTCCGTGTGCGCGATGTGGTGAACGCAGCGTTTAAAAAACGTAAAAACTCAAGATTTTTTGTCCTGGCACCGGACCGGATCCGGATTTGTTAATTATTACATTTACCTAACTTCACAGTTAGTAAGCCCAATTGTGTAATCAGTAGTACTACCTGCAGTACCAGAGGCGATTTGTGTTACATACCGGTAGCTCCGCCGGACAATGATGAGGTTCTCTAAGGTGAGTTAAGTCCTTTTTGTCTAGAATATGAAAATTGGCAAGCTAATCTATTTAACAAAAAAATGTATTGTTCTTTTCTTCCATTGTAAAAGAAGTACCGTGATTATTTTAAATGGCCACAAAAGAAGCCACTAGTAAGGAAATAAAAATGGTATGCCATGTTATTCAGATGAAATACACAATGAGAATCTATCTCTCAAAAATTGAATACAGATTTAAATTATGATTCAAACTTCTGACATGCAAATGATTTTTATTCGGTCGCTCCATCATTGACTATTATAATACAAAACACTACAAAACACAATAAAGACACTATATGACTATTGGTTATTTTTCAATTGCGTATTTATTATTATTTGTATTAATGAAAATCAATTAACCTATTCAGGATTAATAATAATTATCCGTAGGTTAAAATTATTGCTATTACAACGCTGGTAGCTGCCATTATTACTAGAGAAGTTCGTAAGTACAGATGCTATTTACTTATATCTTTTATGCTATAAAATAGTATAGAGTACATAGATGAATGATATAT